AATGAAGGAGGTAATAATCAAAATCTAATATTATTTATTCGTGGAAAAGCTATATCTGGTGATTCTAATATTAAAGGAATTAATCAATTTCCAAATCCACCAATTAAAAGTAAAAATGGGGAAAGGAAAAATTTGTGAATTGTGGAATTGGGAGAAAGATTCAGGAAAGAGAAATAATTAAAAAATATTGGTTTGAATGAGAGAGGCTTGGTATATGCATAATTTTCAATGCTGTCGAAATGTGAATACCACTTTATTTTTGGTCACCCAAATCATTTTCGCTAGACTGCGCGTGTATGGGGAGCTCGTTATATTTTTATTTTTATTTTTTGAATAAAAAAAATGTTTTTCGAATAAAAAAAATATTGAGTACAGAGAGAAGAAATGTGAAATTTAATATATTAATTTTTAATCAGATTTTTTTTTTACGCTTTATGAATCGTCTTTGTTGTCCTTTTCTTCTTTAATCGCAAATGATTGACTTGTACCACTTGCACGGCCATAATTGTTTTAACCAGTGATAGGCAAGATTTAATAGTTGAAGTTACGAATAAAGTTACTTCGATAATTTATATATAACAATAATTGCAAATAATTTGTAATGCAAAATGGTTAATAAAACAATTATTTGAAGTGATTTTATTCGAAATTTTTAACCAATTACTTTTTCAATGGAATTAATTAACCCAATCCTGGTTTCAACTTATTTGCCTGACAAACGGTTGACCTACACTACTATCTGAACACGACTTATTCTACTTGTGCAACAATGGCAGATCTTTTTGCTGGAAAATAACGAGGTATATTACCTGTCTGTTCAATAACTGACATAAAATAATGCATTTTGAAAATACAGGTGAAATACACGTGGGAAATATTGAATAGATGTAAATTATTGACACGTGAAAAGGAAGATTAAACATTGTAGCAAATAGAATGGTGCGTTAAATCGCTCGTGAATATTTTCAATTCATACCACGATCTACTATAAAATTTACACGTATCAGAACGATTTTCTATAATATTTTTGGTAGTATATATATATATATTTCATGCTACAATAGATATTAGCTTCATACGCAGGCAAAATTCCAAATTTAGTTTCTTTATGAATACTAATGTTTCATTTTCATTTTTAAGATATATTGTAGGAAAATTTTATTTCCTAGAAAATATAAATCAGCATACATTTTTCTTCACAATCTCCTATCTCAGAATATTATTTAAATCAAAATTGATAGTTTAATTTTTAATATTCTCTCAATATTTGTAAAATATTTTTATTTTATTTTTTTTATTTCAAAAAAATAATAATCAAAAATAGTGAGTCATATTTGAAAAAGAAAAATTAACGTAAAAATGTAAATATACATCAAATATACATTGAGAAAAGTTTGCAATTATATTTTTTACATATATTATTATTTTATTATTATTATATTATTTTTTATTTAAACCAATTATAATTGTTTTTAAAAAAATATAATTTATACTTTTGTATTTTATCAAAGAGAATTATTTTAATAATAATTATTATTCAGAAATTATTTTATTAAAATTTCATTTGAAACGATGTCCCTTTAACACTTCAACTTTCTGTATGACATCAATTTCCATGTTTCTCATACAGTCCTTGTTTCCTCTTACTGCACTTTACCATTAGTGGCGCGCCAACTTTACCAACATTTTGCAATACATAATAGTTGCATATATGAAGGGCTAGTTTAAATCAATTTGCAACTTATTATAGAAGTGATAATACATTTCATTGAAAACTTTGATTCATTTATTCAATGTATAATA